ATGAAACCAGGCAAGAAGAGGATCTCCAATACCTAGAGTATCTAGAGTGTGTATTAAAATTCTGTGGTCTACTTTATCAAATGCTTTTGAGAAATCCATGTAAATTACGTCAACTTGACTTTGTTGACTGAAGGAATCATATATATAGGATGAGAGTATGAGGTTACAAGTTATTGTGGAGCGTCCAGGCCGAAATCCATGTTGCTCATCACATAAAATATTATTAAGTATAGGACGGATAGCATTTATAACAATAGTTTCAAATAATTTGGATATATGAGAGAGTGTTGTTATTGGACGGTAGTTACTTACTTGAGACGGGTCACCAGATTTAAGGATCGGGGAAATTGAGCCTAGCTTAAGCGAGGAGGGGAAGAGTCCGGATTCAAAAGATTTACGGCATAACAGGAATAGAGGCCAGGCAATAACATCACTTAGGATAGATAGAAAGTGGCCTTGTATTCCATCAGGACCAATAGTTTTGTTATTACGGAGAGAAAATAGGAATTTACTTACATCATTGATAGTGAATTCAATTTTAGAAGGTAAGAAGGAGAATGTGGGAAGAAAATGTGTTGGGAAAGATGAAGATTTTAGAGAAGGGGTTTCTATGGTAGAAAAATAGTCAGAAAAAATATTAGCTATTTCATTAGGCAAAGTGCTAGAAATGTTATTAAATACCACACGCGTAGGTGATGTTTGAGGTGAGTGGGTTCGGCGCACAAAAGACCAAAATGAACGAGGGTTAGTTAAAAGAGATGATTCTGTACGGGAAATGTAGTCACGGTAGCAAAGTTTAGACATAAATTTGTAGCGAGCTCGCAAAAGAGAGAAATTTGTATAATCCGTAAGTGATGAGGTAAGTTTATACTTAGCATATTATATATGTATATATATATTTAATGCTTTATATGCTCATTAAGTCCATAGCGGGTGGTTAGTCCATCGTCGTAGAGTGGATTGGCGACTTTAATTACCGAATTGATTTCTCGCTTGGTAAATGAAGCCGCCCTTGACCGAGTTTTGAACCAGAGGCAATGTGCATCAAGCACTACAATGTTACTGACTTGGCCACTCCGTCCCTCAGTATTTTTTGTTTAGTAGATATTATTTACCTGAATGGTTTAAGTTATATATTTGTCTGCTCATAAAAATATTTAGTTCACTTATGAATAGAGTTCAGATTTATATGTATTTATAAATTTAGTTTGAAAAGAACCAAGTTTATTCAAATTTGTTGTTGAAATATATAGTAGTGTAGAAATAATCTTCGTTTTAGGGAGAATAAACCCCCTAGTCACCAACAAAACTATAACCCCCGTAATTACACATTATTAAGTTTTCAAGTCTTTTAATACAAATTTATACTGGCTGATGATGTGTTTGGAATAAAATTTATAAATCATAAGTTCATATAAATCTGGACTCTACTTAGGAGTAATGAGGTATTAATTTTTCAAAATAAAATATTTATTCAAAAAATTTCTTTAGGAATAAAATTATGTAATGTTTTTAATAAACAGATCTAGTGAAAATACCAAAATCAGATAATTATTCTTAGGTACTTCATCATAATTATTTTGAATGCTATATTTTTTTTTTCAATTATGAAATAATATTAACATTGCATGATAATATTTTTTTGAACAAATGTTATGATTTGTTTTATTGCTTATTGTTTAACTTCTCATAAAAAAATTCATTAATATTAAATATCATTTATAAACTACATAAATTAGTAAAATTGAATAATTTGCACTGTTTGAAATCTTTAAATATCTTACAAATGTTTTTTTTTTTTTCAAATATAAAAAAAATTTGTAATTTTATTCAATAAAACTGGAATTCTGAATGGGAATAATGTGTTATGNATGTTTTTTTTTTTTTTTTCAAATATAAAAAAAATTTGTAATTTTATTCAATAAAACTGGAATTCTGAATGGGAATAATGTGTTATGTTCGAATTTTTTAAATTACATTTTATTCTTATTATTTTTTATTATTAAACTGAATATCTCAATATATTTTTAAAATTAGAATTATCCCAGAATGATTGTATCACTCATAATATGTTAACATTGTTCAATTAAGTTACTCTTATTGATTTTCTTTTATACTCTTAAATTTACAAATTGTATACAGCAAAAAATTTGGTAATTATGTAATTAATTGCTAAAAAAACAAAATTTCAAAAAACGCCATTCATAACTATAACGAGATATACATAATTATTTGTCATTATACTTAAAATACAATAGATTTTATGTTCAGAATAAATTTAACTGCTAGCTCAGATTAAACTCAACATGCAACAATTTGCTAAGTAATCAACTAAATTTGAAGTATAAACTCATTAAGTTTTTTTGAACTTATTGACTTTATGGTTTTATTAAATATTAACTCATTATTATGAAAATAAAAAATACTGAAACACTATATGACTGATAAGTGAAATCGAATGGTACACTAATACTTAATAAAAGTTGGTAAACATTAAATCAATATATAAACCAGTATAATTTAGTGTCTTTAAAAAAAAAAAAATTTTTTTAATGAACCATTAATTACATAATTGCTTGATTTTTGCTAATTAACTTAAAAATTAGTATCAACCTGGTAATTTTAATGACTGTTTCAAAATCAGCTACGAAACTTTTTTTAGAATTAACTTACATATTGTTTGACACAAAAAAATGTTTGATTTTATGTTGGGTTATTTAACAACTTAATAAAAATGTTATTGAATAAATTAAATAATCTATAATTTATTTTGAATAATACTATATCTGAACTTACATTAATCCTGAGAATACAATTTTTTGTTATTCATTTCATTGTTAAATCTTTCTATTTTCAGACTTTGATTGTTACTTGGATAAAAGCAAATTTAAATGTACCTATTTCTGAAAACCTATGGGATCAGTTTTTAACTGTACTCTGTTCTCTTACTCAATGGGAAGAACTCATTAAGGAATGGTCGGTGAGTATTATTAGTAAAATTTTTAAAAGTAAATTAAGATAATAATAAATAATAAAAAACGGTAGCACAGTGGGGTCGCGGCATAGTGGAGACATTGCATAGTAGGGTCCAGTATAGATTTAATCTGACAGTGATTAAAATCACTATCATAAGAAACGCTTCGATGCAAATCTGTAGATAGTGTTTAATTTTAAAAAATTGATGGATAATTGCAAAAGCAACATCAACTTCTATTAAAATAAAATACAAAACCCATAATTTTCATACAAAAATAACATATTTTTCAATATGGTAGCCATTTGCATATAGAAGATAGATCGTCGGGACAAATTTTTTTTTTTCATTTTGTAGTACATAAAATAAGCTTTAATTTTATATATGTTTAAAGGACGCAGTATTTCCGGAACATTTTCAAAAGTTCAGTTGAAAAAGATCTATGTTTTTTACAATATTTTAAGTTTTGAACGCCCCCTATATAAGGGGAAATTGTCCAATTTTAATAAAAAGTATGTCAAATGAAAGATGTACTTATAATGTATTTAGAAAAAAAAAATTTGTGCTGATATATACATTTTTCAAAAAGTTATAGCATTTTTAAGTTGAAAATTTAAAATCGAAAATCGAAAATTTTAACACAAAAATAGTGTTTTTTTAACTACGGCAGCCGTTTAAATGTAGAAAAAAAAGTGTCGGGACAAATTTTTTTTTTTCATTTTGTAGTACATAAAATAAGCTTTAATTTGATATATGTTTAAAGGACGCAGTCTTTCCGGAACATTTTCAAAAATTAAGTTGAAAAAATTAATTTTTGTAAAAAAGTTGCCATTTTAAATCCCCCCCAATGAGCAGGTTAAGTGATAGATTTTCAAAAAAATGATATCAAATGAAAGGTAAATATCTAAGGTTTTAGTATAAAAAAAAATTATGTTGATTTGTTGATTTTTCAAAAAGTTATGGAAGTTTTAAGAAAAAAAAGTGAAAAAATTTCGAAAATTAGCGATTTTTAAATTTGTAATTTTTTTGGATATTTCCCCCATTTGCGGGGAACGAGGGAATTTTTTAATTTTTAAGGGTAATGTCTTCAACTAGATACGATTTGTGATCTTTTGACGTATTTTTGAAAGAAATCTGTCCAGTGAGAGCTGAGAAAAAGTGGCAACAGACACAAAAAAAAAACAAATCATAGTAAAACCAATACCTACTCAGCTTCGCATCGAAACTAAAATACTGATCAATAAGACAAGTATTTATAAAACCAATATCTTTTTAGTTTTACATTATAACTTAAATTTAAATTTAAATGACAGTTTAAATAATTACTCTCTTAGTTTTATGGAGGTTAATTGTTATTTTCTGCAATTACATAATTATTATATTCTATAGAAATCATTTTAATTTAACTGTCATGTTAACAAACAGTGGTAAAGTGTTATAGGAGACAATGAGACATTATTAACTCAATTAAAAGAATTTTAAATAGATTGGTTTTATAAATTTAAATTATTGACAAATATGAATTTCATAGTATCTATTTTATAAAATCATTATATTATTTTTGTTTCTTAAAAAAAATTAAATAATGATTAAATGAGCTAGTTGTGATTGGCTTAGAAATTTCAGTAAACATTTTTTGTGTGTAGGGTGATAATAAGTGTATCTTATATAAATAAATATGAAGTTAAAAGAAAAAATCTTTGTCAACTATATGTAATTTTGTTTTTATATTTGAACATATGGTAAAATAATATCTAGAGGTAGTACAGGGGAGTTAGAGCTATTTTTCAAGTGTTTCCCTAACCTTGAGAATAGTTTTCCTAACCGCTGTAAAATAGTATACACGTTAATGTTTAATTAGCTAAATTATTTTTGAATTATTACTGACTGGTTAATGTTAATTCAATTTATGTGGCAACTATTATTAGGTAATGAAGACATGTTTTTCATTCAGTTACTTTTAAATCATTATAAATGTATTTAAAATAAAATTTACTATATATATATATATTTTTTTTTTTTTTAGAAAACATTAGAAACTTTAACAAGAGTTTTAGCAAGACATGTTTACAATTTAGATCTTGCTGATTTGCCTTTAGATCGTATAAATGATAAAAAATCTAGAAGAAAACTTGGAAGCAACATGTGTAACTTATCATCTTCACAAAATAGTGAACAACAAAATACTATAACAGGTATTTCAATTTTTTTAGGGTAAATAAAGTCAAATATTTATAGTAATAGCATATCTTATATAGGGAGGTTCAAAAAAATCAATGTTTAAAATTTCTTTCTTATACCACTTTAAATTATTCTCTATAGCTTTAAAATATTTCTTATAATAAAATAAATATTTTTCTAAGCATCACAAACCATTGTATGTCTTACTAACTAAAGATTTATCGTGCATATAACTTCTTTTTCCTCGCTTTAATCCCAACTTCTTGGGGTCGGTTACCCTTATTCTAAACTTCCACTTGACACAATATACACTCATATCAGCTGTCCTCATATCGCATTCAATAACATCCCTCCACCTCTTTTTTGGTCTTCCTCCATCTCTTCTTCCTTCAACATTCAATTTATCATGCATATATATTAATTATAAATTAAAAGTGAATAAGTTACTTTTCCAAGAATAATTTGTCATAACACAAAACACAAATGGAAAGGGTTTAGAGTAGTGAGTCTGCTGCCTAGGTATTTACGTACATGTGATCATACAGCAATTATTGTGCTTGGCTGACACTCGGGATTAGCTGCGGGTATCAAAATTTGACATTATAAATATTTATTAGGCTTCTACACGAGTACCTTATTTTTATCAAGTAGCCAATTAACAGTTCATTGGTACGGAATACTAATCATACAAAAGGGTAGAATCAATATTTTAAAAAAAAGAAATGGTTTTTTTTTGGTATATTTTAGACTAATTCAATATTAGATATTTAAGTGTCTTTTTATTTATTGTGTCTTCTATTCTGTGATACAAGCTGAAGTATTAAATTTAAAAAACTAATTACAAAATACACAGTCATCTATAATGAATAATTTTAGAGAGTAGCTTTAAGTGAGAGTAAAAATAATTGTAATTTATATTTTAGGTTTATATAACTTAATAATTGCTACATATTTTCACTAATTTTTATAAAATTCTTATCAATAAATTTCAGTAATATTAATTACTCAAAACCTAATATATACATTCACATAATGCACATGTTTTTTGAAATTATGGGTAAATGCAATATAAATGACAAAAAATCGTTTTTGAGTTAATTGAATTAAAATTAAGAAATACTATATTTTTTATGTAATATAAATGTATTTGGTAATAGTATCATTTGTAAATAGCAGTATATTTTACTTTGAGCCTTAATGTTTTTCAGAATAATGGTAATTTTACTTTTTAGTTATGTTTTTATCAGATTTTTTTTCTAAAATGCCATTTTGACCCTGTCAGCTTTGGGTTAAAATATAATTTCATTTTTATTAAATTTGTTTTTATTTAGAAGTTCAACTGAGTAATTTTAATAAGAAAAAAACAATTGTGAAAAGATCCAATAGTGATTCTGAAATTTCATATTATTCTTCATACCAAAAGTATAGTGAAACTGAAACATTATTTAACATAACAGGTAAAAAATTTAAATTGATAGTGAGTCAAATGAAAGTCATTTTAATATATATATATATATTTTATTTTTTTTTTTTTTTTGTAAATAGAAACTCCTACGGCTGATGATAGTAAACTAAACTGGAAAGAAGAAAAAGCATCTAAATGTTTAGCTAATGTACGAAAATGTCATTCATTGGAAAACTTAACACAACTATTAAGTAATTAATTTAACTAATGTTAAATTATTTTTATGTAATACTTTTGAATTTTATTTTAGTTTTAAATGGAAGAGAATCTAATTCCAGGTCACCCTCTCCTGTACCATCATCTGGAATTGATAATAATTTATTTAAAGAAGCTCATATGCAAATAGAAATTATGTCAACTCAACCATCTTCCTCTGGTAAATTGACCAGTTTAATTAATATCGCCTATTGACAAGAATAGTAACATAACTAAAAATAATACAAATTTATGGGAGGGACTAAATAAATTTAACAATTTTATACTATTTAATTACAAATTAAATTTTCTTAAGATTCCTACAAAAAATATTAAATTTAAGTTAATGAAACCTTTTACTTGTGTAAAATGTAAAGTATTTTAACTCTGATAGAAAGCTGAGAAGGTATTAATTCACCATATGTTTATTTTTTTTTATTTTTTTTTTTTTTTGTGTGTCTATCACTACGTTTTCTCAAATCTTACTGGATTGGTTTTGTTTAAAAATACATCAAAAGAACATAAATTGTATTTAATTGAAGATATTATCCTTAAAAATTAAAAAAATTTCCCTGTTCACCATAAATATTCAATATCAATAAAAGTATTAATCAGGATACAATTAATGAAATGTTTCTTTTGGAATAATCCAACAATTCCTTCTAAAAATTAAAAATTATCTACAGATATTTATAAAAACATTTTTTATGATAGTAATTTTAATCACTGTCAGATATCCTCTCTACTTGTCCCAATTATGTCGTGTCCCCACTATACCACTACCTCACTGTGATGGATTTAATTTGATTCATATTGTGCAAAAATGAGAAAAAGGAAAATGTTTGAGTGTCACTATTTTTGTTGATAAGTATTATGTAGTTGTAATAAATTAACTAAAACAATGACTAAAAAAATTACAGTAAATAATTGATAATAATTTAATTTAGAAAAAGGAATAAATAAAAAATCAGTCATGTCTGGTGGGGATATACGAGGATGGACACCAGATGTTGCAGCAATATTATGGCGTAGAATGCTTGGTGCTCTTGGAGATATAAATGCTTTAGAAAATCCTGTTCTACATGAACAAGTTTTTAAATATTTGTTAGATCTTAACACCATAATGACAAAAGTATGTTTTTTCTACAAAAATAATGTGCAATATATAAATTAATATAGTTTTCATCTTTAAATATATATTCTAAGAAAAAAATGAAAATGGTAGCTTTATAAAAAATAAATATCTTGCATTATATAATGTAATGTGAAAGGGTCTGTGCTATATTAAGCTAATTTTTTTTCAGAACTATAATACAAATCTAAAAAAACTAACATTATCCACCTATTAGAATATTCTAAAAACATTTAATTTCTCACACAATAAATTTAGTTATTATATTATTCTTGTAGAGAATTTTTATAAGATACAGTCATTTTTATTTTAATTAAAAACTGAAAATTTAATTTTAAAAAAGTTAACTTGTGTTGTTTTTGCATAGAAACATTTATTCAATGAAATTTTGTTCAGTTAGTTTTAGTTCTTAAAATATATTCTTATGTTCATTATTAAATATAAATTATAATTAAATTTATTATTAGATTTATGAAAATCAAGGTATGGTAAAAGAAGAATGTTTTGCCTCGCTTGATTTAGTTCCACCAATTTCAATTATTGCACCTTGGTGTTTTCAGGTATTTTATTTATTTTACATAAAAATTATGCTAATAACAGATTTGATTGACTATTTTTCTTAGGCTCTTACATTACCTAAATCTTATAGAAATGGTAAACTACATGCTTATAAATTATTATGTCAAATGACTTTAAATAATAGAGAAATACAACCAGGGCAAAAGTATATTACCCAGTTTTTGAAAGTATTACATTATGGTTTAACATCAAGTGATCAAGTAGTAATTTATATTTATTATTTAATCGCTTATATTATTAAAAAAATTTTAATTTTAGGAAATTGTTAACACTATATTAAAAAATACAGGACCTCAATATTTTTCTTATCAACTACCTGGTTTTACTTTGTTAACATTAGATTTTGTTCATGCTTGTAATGAAGTTTTAAGTGGAACAAATATAGCTACGGTAAATTTATATTTTATTAAAATACATTTTAAATAATTAAAACCAAATTTTAACCAAATATAATTTTTTTTTTTTCAACATTTTAACAGGCTCCTCGAGCTGAAGCTGCATCTATATTAGGGTCAATATTGAGTTATCCATTAAATCTTACTAAAGTGCCTTATCTTAAACCTGACTGTCATCAGTTTAACATTACATACTGCCCAGATATCAAAGTAATGTGTTTTATTACTATATTTTTTTACTGAGGTTTATTATTATATTTAAATTATACATTTTTAGGATACTGTGATTATGGTATTGTTAAAAGTAGCAAAAAGAGAACCATTAGGATTAGCCAGATGCATCACACTTTCTAACTTAGGCATGTTTTTGTGTCAACAATTGGGTAACAATAGCAAACATCCATGTGTAAAAGAAGCTATTATTACCTTATTACTTGCATTACAAGTAAGTTTTAAAAAAAATTTTAATTAAGAAACCTTTGATTTACATAAGTAAAAAATTAATGTAAAATATAAACAAAAGTATTTTGGTCACATAATATATGACTTTTTTCAACAGTTTAAAAATGAAAAAGTATCACAAGTAGCTTGTGACATTGTTTTGCTATTACAAGATTACATTCCAAATTTGTTAAAAAATTATCCAGACATACCTCCTAAAGTACTTGAAGTAAGTTATAGATTTTAATATAATTTTAAATGTTTCAAAAGTTAGTTAAACAATAGTTCTTTATTTATTCAAAATAAAATGTATGCTTAATAAAACTCATTGATTTGTTACTCAACTGTATTATAGGTATTAGCAGCAACTTTGACAAACATGCTACCAATTGGTGATGGTAATAAAAGACTTTTAACATCACTAGTTTTTTGCTTGGCAGAATGGACTATGCAAATGCCTATTACATTATTACTTGAACCAAGATCAAAACAAAGTTTATCCATGACTGTTTTTATGGTATGTAAATAATGTAAAATTTGTAGAGTAAATTTTAATTTAATATTGATTTTTCCTATATTGTTTAAAAACAAATTTTTCATTCTCAGGTTATTGACGCTATTAGTAGAAATTTTAGTGATATGAAAATTGAAAATTTAAAGAAAGCTACACAGATAAATTTAGATTATTCTAATGAGTTTATATTTGATATAGCATTAGATAATTTGAAAACAGAAGAAGTGAAAAATAATATGTTTGGTGATCATAATGTTGCACCTACTCATTTAAATAGCAGCCGCCATTCCCTTCAAATTGCTTCTAAAATGGTTAATTTTTAAAAATTATTATAAATTAATGTAAAATAAAATTAGAATATTATTATTTTTTTATATATATTTATAGATAATGAACCATTTATTAAATCATTTGGGACAATTTCCTATGTTGATTGGTCCTGCTCGATTATGTTCAATGGTCTCTGAACATGATGATGTATTGAATTCTACTACAGATCAATTAACTATTGATATTTTTTCTGTACCTAGCATACAAGTTAGTATCATTTCTACTTAAAAATTAGTATTTCTTAATGTGATTTTAAAATTTAAAAAATTATAATTGTAGTTATTCATGTCTGTGACTAATATGCTAATTACTTCCATGATTGAATTACCTGCATTGGAAGTACCAGGTGGTGGAATTACTGCTGGATTAAGAACTGGTCTTAGTCAAGTTCGGATTATTCAAAGGGACTTGATTGGAAAATCATGTTGGGACATTTCACCTTTATATTGTGGTCCTAATTTTGACCCCGAGAAATGTAATGCAATTATAAATATTTTTTGTTTACTTTTTTGAGTTATCAATCAATAATTAAGTGATATTTATTAAAGATGAAAATGAAAAAAATGTTAACTCAACTTTACCTCAACAATGTGTAGATGGAGAATCCATAATGGTGTATTATAATACAAATTTTAAAACTCCACATACAATGCGGCATCGTGCTCCTGATGTTTTACCAATATTTGAAAATTCTGCTGATGACCTTGATAATTTAGATGATGTATCAACCTTAAACTTTTAAATTGAACACTATTGTTGTTAACTGAAGTTAATCTATTAAATTTAAAATTTCAGTTATTACATTATATTGGATATACAAGTTCAGAGTGTTTAGAAGATATGGAAGTATTTTTAAACAATCCTGCACCTAAATCGCCAATGTCTTCTCAGTTAGAGCAAGATGTGATGAGTACAATTTTAGGACAACAAAATATGGATAGTAGTTATACTGAAAGATATAATTCTCTTCATTACAACCGGTTAGTAAGTTCACTATAAAATATAAATATTATTTTTTAATAAGTGTTATTTTACACTTAAGATTTGAAAAACGACCTCAATGTAATATGCATGTTTCCCCATTCCAAAATGGAAGAGCACTGTTTTCTGAATTGGGCTTTAGTAGCTGGGATCAACGTCATCAAGTTTATCAACTAGAAAGAAATGAAAAACTACTAAGGGAACTAAGAGTTCTGGATGCTCAATGTTGCAGAGATACTCACAAAATAGCAATCATTTATGTGGCTGAAGGTCAAGAAGATAAGATATCCATCATATCTAATGCTGGTGGGAGTCAAGCATATGAAGATTTTATTTCAGCATTAGCTTGGGAGGTAAATATTCAAAGTAAAAAAACTAGAGTTACAAATTTTTGCAGTTATAAGTCACTTACTTAATTTTTAAAAATACATCTCAAAATAAAATAAAATTTCTTTAAATAATTTAATTTTTAGTAAAATGTTGTTAATTTTATATTTTGCTCAAAAATTCACAAACAAGCAAAGCAGGTACATTATCATGGTGCAAAGGCTATAAATTGTTTTGCCCAAATCCAGTTGTTTTTTTCGGAATGCTTCACGCAAACGGCATTGAACTTGTAGGCAGTACTACTTATTGACAGTTTGACCTCATTGCAAGAATTCTTGCACTAAGCCATTGAAATCGAAGGAAACCGTGATCATAACCTTCATGTTCGATCGCACTTGTCGAGTCTTTTTCGGTCTAGGCGATCCAGAATTCATCCACTGGGACGATTGAGCCTTAGTTTTGACGTCTTTCCATAAACCCATGTTTCATCACCTGGTATATAACGTTTCAGTAATTCTGCAACGTCAGTGACTTCATCAAATGATTCCTAGGCAACTTCCATTCGTCACTGTTTTTGTTTTTTCAAAATTCAACAATTTTAGAAGAAATTTTACCGTTACGCTTTTTATACCCATAACATTCAAAAAAAATTTATGGCATTAGCCAATCGTTATTTCAACATAATCAGTGATTTCTCTGATTTGTGATTCGTCGATCGTTCATAACAATTTCTTTCACTTTTTCCACGTTTTCATCGGTTGTTGATGTGCTGGGGTGTCATCTTCAACGTCTTCACTGCCATCTTCGAAACGCTTATACCACTCATAAACCTTTGTTTTACTGATGGTAGACTCACCATAGGCCTCTGTTTACATTTCATACACTTTGTTACACTTTATTTCATTTTTTACGCAAAATTTGATACAAATCCTTTGATTCATTTTTTTTAACAAACAAAAATCGCCGAACTCATAAAAACACGTCTAATCTTAGCAGCTGCCACTGACAAAGTAAAAAATGAATCCAGCTGAAAAGTTTATCATACTTCAGGGACCAACATTACGAAAACAAAAATTTCGATAATCAAAATCTTCAAACCCACGAAATTAAAATATTCCCGTTATTTTCTGAACATACCTCATATAATTCCATACAAAAATAAAAAAAAATTTTATTTACTACATAATTAATTTCATTCTGAAAATCTATCCATATCACCAACTATTTCATAACGCCATGGTATATACTATGTATAGTGATTTTACTACAATTTTTTTAGTTACAATCAAACTTATTTTTTTTTTATTATTCTAATTGTAGCTCTATGTGCATAATGGTCCTACAGGTCTGAGTCAAGGGCAGCTCATACCCACTTCTTTTACTACTAATTGTTGCTTAAAATATTTTTAATGGTATTATTAATTTAAATTTAAATAAATGTTTCTATTTTAAAAACAAAAAGGTGGAACTTGAGACACATAACGGTTTCTTGGGTGGTTTACAACGTAATAAAAATGCTGGAACTACAATGCCATATTACTCAACATCATTCTTAGAAGTTGTTTTTCATGTAGCTACTCGAATGCCAACAACATCAAATCAAGAAGCATATATTCAAAAGGTTTGTTTACTTATTAATGTATTAACAGATATTTATAAACTTTTATACATTTGAGTAGGCTAGGCATTTGGGTAATGATGAGGTGCATATTGTTTGGTCAGAACATTTTAAAGATTATAGACGTGGTATAATTCCTACTGAATTTTGTGATGTTTTAATTGTGATATATCCACTTCCAAATAAATTATTTAGAATACAAGTTTCTAGAAAACCAGAAGTAAGTCGTACAACAAATTATAAAATTAAAATAATTACTAACTTTTTTTGTTAAATTACAATATTATTTATTCACAGGTACCTTACTTTGGTCCATTATATAATGAAGTAATTGTTCAAAAATCAATACTTGCCAATGTTGTTCGTTGTACTGCTATTAATGCTTCATGTGCTAAGCGTAGTATGATACCATTCTATCAGCAATAGTAAGTTCTATTATTTATTTATTTAACATTAATAATTTTTAATAAAATGCTAAAATAAATTGTAGTTATGAAGAAAGATGGAGATCTCTAGATATGGTTATGAAAAATTATAAACATTTAAGCACTTATGAAGAATTTATTTCAAATGTATACTCGCCATTACAAACAACTTCCCAGTTTCAACAGCCATTTTCATCTAGAAATTCAAGTAAACAGAGATTTTAAATAAAACCTTGATTTCTTTAGTAAATATAGAATATTATTTTAATTTTTTGTAGTTGACAAATTTAAATCCGATGATGGATCATCATCATCATCCTCATCAAATTTAGCATCTGCACTTATAGATTCCCACAGAAGTAGGAGTGTTAAAGGTGATTTTAAATATATTAATATAAGTATTTTTATAGATATATGGGTTAATTATTAGACAATTGTAGTATTCACAATATATTAGGAATTTCACTAGATTGGTCCATCAAGAATGGAATCAATATGGATGTTATAATTTCTGCGGGGATATCACCAAGACCCCACAAGAAATTAACTTCTTATCAGAACCATATGTGATAGGGATATTAAACTTGATGGTATTAATATTTTGATTTTTATTGTGTGCTAAAATACCAGCATGGTAATATCTGTTGTGTGGATGTTTTAAATATATCTAACTGCATGTGTTCTTTGATAAATTTTATAGTTGAACAATTATTGAAATCAGCTGTAGTTATTTTTTTACCTCGTAAGTAGTGTAAAATTTAAACCATATAAAGTCTAAAAAATTGAACTTATTGAAGGTTTTAGTTTTTGAGAATAATTGTTTCGATTTTTTAGAAATTAGTGCTTAATTTTTATAGCTATTTTATTTATTCCTTAAGTGATTAAATTATCCTAAGAATTTCTTATTAATTTCTCATTAATTAATATAATAAATAGGTAACTATGCATAATGTTAAGTATAGAAAATCCCATCAATCTATGTGTTGTATTATAATCCATTAAATTATTTCAATACTTTATTAAAAAACCAAGAAATTAGAAAAATTGTTTATCAAAATAAAGTCTATTCTTATGTTTAATTATCTTGTTTTTTTATTATATATTAAAGATTTTAACAATATTTAAAAACAAAAAATTTTTGCCTAATAATATATATTTTACTTTTTAGAACTGGAATTACAAAGTGCGCGACTCTAAATAGAACATGCTTTATACCTATAATTGAAAATGGCTAGATTTTAAGTTCAAAACTTTAAAAAGGTTGATGATGCCACAACTTAAAATATTATTTATAGTTAAAATTATTATATCATTTAAGAATTATTTGTTTAAAAAGGATCAGGTATAGAATAATATGGTTACGGTTTGTAATTTAACCGTGTTTATACAGTACAAAACAAATCATATTTTAAGATGACTTAGTCTGTTATAGTTATTGCTAATTTGTAAAAAAAAAAAAAAAGTATTTTTTATTGTATTAATCTTTAATCCGTCCTATGTACTTAAGTCATTTTTATTTGAAAACTTAGACTGACATTTTATTTACATATTTCGTCCTCCATATATTGTTAACTTATCCTAAAATTTTTAATTTTTTTTACATTTGAAATAATTGTAATCATATTTTTAAAAATAATTTCTAATCATTTTATTTATTTATTTATTTTTTTTTTTTGTAGCATTATTTAACATTTTTATTACTAATATTGACTATTACCAAAATAAATATACAATATGCAATACTACATTATGTAGTACTAAAAAGTACTTGTTTAAGTGTGTTACTTTTTTTTTCTCTTACAATTTTGTGTAAAGTAGATTATAATTTTATTATTTGAAATGTAGTACTTATAAAAATATTGTTGTAGGTACATAACTTAGAATTTTTTCTATTTTTAGTAATATTTTTGCAATTTTTCTTATATAAACTATATAATATATTAAATATTTTTTTACGTGATTTTTTTTTTCTTCATATTTAGTTCTAACATAATTAATTAAGTACTAATTTATTAATTATTATGAATTTTTTATTGCTTGCCTGAAATAATTTTAAAGTATTTATTTCGTGCGATAAGTGTGCTTTTATGTTAAATTATAATAAATTGTAATGAAATACACAAACTGTGTGTCAATGTATTAATGCATAATTTTTTTTTTTTCATTCACTAATTCTTTATTCTTTTAGAAAAATATCATGATTCTTAATCTTATAACTTTTATGTTAAATATAAGAATAAATGTATGATTGTGTAAATTTTACTTTAATATTCTTAAAGGTAGATTGTTGGTTCCAAAGGGACCACCACGTCCCCATACAGGTTCCCTCGGTAGTATTTCACTTAAAAGCTAAAAATTGCATCTCTTTCAAATTTTTACACTAAAAATAGGAATTACTCAATTTAGTTAGCAAGGAACGCTACGCAATCTAAAAATTACCAATCTTTTAAAATACATTTAACTTTCATTTTTAATAGTTTTTCGATAACTTTATTTTTATCAAAAGTTAACTTTCTAGTAAAACTATTTTTTTTTATTATTGAAAGGTAATTTTCTATAATACTAACCTATATAAACTCAAATCAAATTTCAACGAAAACGCTGTGGACCAAACTTTTTCCATTAATATAAAATTTCTGTTTATAGATGGTTTCTGTATAATAGATGGTCCGTTGAAAGGAGGTCTCAGGAAAGTTAACTATATGATCATTTTATTCTCTTATATTAAAGTTTTTTTTTTTGAAACTACATTCAATTGAAATGCGTTTGTCTGACTTTTACACTTGTGGAAGTAAAATATTTTGACAGTCGTATGAAAACAATTAGGAAATTAACAAAGCAATTTTTAATTATATATAAATATAAAAGCAAATGAGTGAGGTTTTAAACAAGTAACATTTTTAAGTTTAATAAAAGCACAAGTATTAATAAGAACATTAACTACAATACAAATAATATCAAATAGAATAATTAATGAATCATTTATAATCATCTTTTAAAAGAGTTTTTAACTTGGCGGGTTATCATGAAAATAAATATAGTTTAAAAAAACTGAAAAACACTATTTTAAAGAATATCGAACTAAAAAGTTAAAAATAAGCTTAAAACAATAATTAACGAAAAATACTAGTATTATTGTGAAAAAAAGCGTTGGGTGCGTACTGAAAAATATTTTACAGTAATAACATTTTCTATTTTATAAACTTATATTAAAACTATAAGTGTAAAAACAGTTTTATTTCAAGCTTCGATGACTATAATTAAATGAAAATAAATTAATCGCCCAATTTTTTCCTTTATGCAACCCAGCTCATAGAAATTAAGTAAAATGATAACTCGTTACGTTTATATCAGTAAGTATCACTTTTAAGTAATCATAATAAGAATGCTAGCGAAAAATGTATATAGGTATTAAATAAATAAAAAGCATTACTGAAAATGCCAAATTACCAAAAAAAGTAGATAAATGTATTAATGTTATAAATTGAATATGTTTCACTATCAAAATTCTATTTTTAAGTGGTTGCTGTGGTCATCCACCATCTTTTTTTTTCAATTAATTGTTTGTAATTGAAGTACTCTCCACACATAATTATGTATGAAGCATAAATAGCCATATTAATTAACTTAAAATTAATTAGATAAATAAAAACTAAAAATTCTAGGTTAAAGTTAAAGAAACATCTTAACTAAAAAAATATTAAACTAAAAGGTATCAAAACTAGCAATACTAAAGAATATATTTCAAATTATTCACTAAAGCGCTAAAAAAGCTAATGATATATGACTTAATATTTTTCAGATCCCACCCCCAATACAATTATTTGGCATTTGATCAAATCGTAGGAATAGTGTATTTGGCTTTTGTTTATTACTTGTACAAGTGTACAAGTACTTGTATACTTGTCAAGTATACCAGTCATGGGAACTCTCTACTTGTTAATAATTGGATGATTTGGCAAGTACACCAGTCGTGGGAATCCACCTTTACAGAATGATAATAATTTAAACATTTTTTTTTTTTTTTGATTATCTTTAGTTACACATAATTCNAAAAATTTTTTTTTTATTATTATCTTTAGTTACACATTATTCTTGAATTATTAACTATGTAATACTTTTTAAGTTCATCCCTTATGCCTGGTAAGGGTGTCAATTTTGTTTTTTTAAATGGGAATACATATTTTGAATTAATAAAACGTTTGAGTTTTTAATTTAATAGTAAATGGCATTTGAATTTTTAATAAAACTTAATTTGTTTATTAGATATAAACATTTAAAGTTTCAAATTTTTGAGTTAATAATCATATATCATTCACAAGGTATTGCAAATACAGGTAGCTAATTGGTTTTTTATGACATCAATATTAGAATGTACACAGCATTGTTATTATCAATGGTAGTAAGACACATTGTTGTGAGTTTATAAATACACTAACTGACAATACAGAAAGTATATCTATTAATAGTCATAATTGATAATAAACAATCCGTGACTGTGACAGCAATTCCATAAAAATCTAATTATCTACATGCATTTATAATCCCTTGTGTATTATACATGTATATTAACTTAAAAATTTGATACTTATATCTAATAAACTAATAAAGTTATATTAAAAATTAAAATGTCATTTACTATTGAATTAAAAATCCAAACATTTTTTAAATTCAAAATATGTGTTCCCATTTAAAAAAACAAAGTTAACAACCTTACAAGACATAAGGGATGAATATAGAAAGTTTTAAATAGTTAATAATTCAAAAATAATGTGTAACTAAAGATAATAAAAAAAAAAAAAAAAATGTTTAAATTATATTTATTCTGTAAGTAATTGAGTGGGTTATGATAAAAAATCACTCTGTAGAATTCACAAAAATTAAGAAGCCATAGAAGTTTAAAATATTTAAGAAGCTATAAAAATGCATAAACAATCATATTACATAAATGTATATCTTAACATATGAGTTATGAATATTGTTTTCTTTATCGGCTTTTTTTTGGTATATTATTTATGTATTATTTTGGTTTTGCCTTTTCTCCGCTAATTGTTCGTTTTTACCATATTAAATACTATACTATTTGTCATATTATATATTTATTTTATATTTTAACATATTTAATCACACCATAGTATTATTGTTTATTTACATGTACTTTTGTAAAAAGCCGTTTGGCGTATATTATTTCATATTTATATGAAATAATTAATTATTAATATAATATAAATAATTTAATTATTTATATTACATTAGTTTAATTTCCTAATAAATATACTATTTGAAAATGAGTTTTTATAATAGTTCTTATGTGGGAAAATACCTTTGCACTGATAATGCTCCAACATTTGACTGAGCAGTTATTGTTCCGAACATCTGGTAATTCGACCATCTAGTACCATAGGTTACCATATCCACGACGGATTTTATTCAAACATTTAATAAAAAAATACAACGTGTAAAAACGCCCACATTATCAATAGTCAAACATGTTTTTATATATATACACATTTTTATTTGAATATTTACTATATACATAGAAAGATACAATAAGAAAATAATCAAAACGTAAAACTTTCTTTTGATATTGTTTTTGTGAGTTGCTTTTGTTTCTAGATAGATGTTGCTCTTTTGAACGACTCTCAGCTTTGGCGAGATCTAATTAAACTCGACTAGGGGACAGTATCGATCTGAAACCTTAGAGGTAATTTTCTTCGAGACCACTGAGACGATTTCCTCAGTGGTCTAACGAGGAAATCTAAAAAGGAGGAGTCTAAAAAAATCCCAAATCTAATGCGGGCCTCCAGAGCTAGGCCAACACTGCGAAAAGATGGTTATTTTGCCAGTGTTTTCATGTCGTTAGCTTAATGTGTATCTTTCAAATACGAAAGTATTATTCTATAAACTCAAAATTATCTCTTTTAAAAAAAAATACTATTATAGTACGCATATTTTTAGAAGATAAAAATTAATTTTCAAAATAAAACCACTTTTTTAAATACTATTTTCATTTTATTTATCGTACAAACAGTCGAGGTCAACCTGGCCTAGAAGACGGAAACGTATATTTCGGCGTCCTGGATTCGATTCCCAGTTTGCCAACGAGATTTTCCTTGGGATTTTTTACCAATGATGTTGTTTGGTCTCTGGTGCAACCCGGCCATAATACTCATCTCGTCCATCATTGACCTAACCAAGGCATGTAGCATGTTAAGTTCAGGAAATAGAAGTATGTAAAACTGACCATTATTATTTATTCATTTATCGCATAAACAGCGTCTATGAATTGAACAGGAGTCGTACACATTTTTCATGCATCAACAATATTTTACAATTCATTACGTATAAATTAATATAGTAATGTATGTTATTATTTTAATTCTCTAATCGTTTTTCAAATAAATACAAACGCTTTAGTAATTTATAAAACAAAAATTGGTATTATCAAGAATTAGTTGGTTAAAAAGTTATAATTGTAAAATGTATTTACACGAAAGGATAAATGTTTTAATTTATTATATGCATAATAATGAAATTTAGTATGTTTTGTGAAATTGTATTGCCAAATTTACTGAGAAAAAATGAATACTTTTTGATTACCAATTACGAATATAAATCTTCTTCTTCGTTTTAATCCCAACAACTTGGGGTCAGCCACCCTTATCCTAAACTTCCACTTGACACGATCTCCCACATCAGCTGTCAAATTACGAATATAAATAAAAATATTTAACAATAGAGTGGAACGTATCTAACTGACAACTTATATAACTTATGATCTACATAACATGTTATACTTTTTTTTTATGAATTTTTATTTTGTAGAACTATAATTAAAATATTTTTTTCGCAATTACAAAAAATATTTTAAAAATTAATTTTATTTAAGATTTTAAGATGGTCATTTTATAGATAAGTTTTTATTAAAAATTTTGATACCAAAAACTCTTATTTTAACTCAGTAGTTACGTTTATACAGCATTATGAAATTTGTTAGATTTTGATTTTAGCTTCGATGCGAAGCTGAGAAGGTATTGGTTTTACTAAGATGTGTTTTTTTTTTTTTTTTTTTTTT